TTTTACGATTCAACACTTCTAACCCACCATCTTCATTACAACTACCAACCATTCTCATGGAAAACCACCGGCACCCTCACCACTATCATCAAAACATCCAACAAATCTACAATCGCTAAAACCTCAGCAGCAGCAACTGCAATTGCCTCCGCCACACAACTCTCTATATCTACAACTCATCTCACCACTACCCTAATTAAAACCCCAAAATCATCACCACCTACCGTACCTATGCAACTCCACCATTATCTAACCATAACCATGAGGGTGATGAGTTTTCTCTCTCCTCTAGCCTCTCTCATCTTTCAATTTTTTTTAACGTAGATTTTAATTATGTTTGTTTAGATTTGAATTTCACAATTTAAATTTGAACTTTCTTATATATGCTATAAATTATGATTTTTCATTAATTTGAAGATGATTGTGAGGATTTGATGGAGGTGGTGACAGTTTATTTGTAGTAGGTGACTTTTGGAGTTGAGGTGAGTGGTAGTAAAAAAAATGACAAAGGTGACATTGGTTTAGGTAGTGGTTGTGGTCGTGGTGGTGGCTTCCGCAATGATTGAGGCGATGCGGTGGTGCCTTTTACTATGGTAGGGATGAGATTATGAAGTGGGTGAGTACCGAGTAATTAGAAGAATTAGTTTAAGTGTTTAAAGTCATGTGGGACCAAATTTCTCAAACAGTGTGAAAAAGGGTATGTTGCAACATTTAATAATTAATAACAGAGGAAGTATATCATATTAGCCCTAAACTTAGCTTTGTTTTAAGGAAACTTATGTTTATTAGGCTACTTATCCAAGTGGACTGAATATCATTGACAAAAGGTGATTGCAATCAATATATTTTGTGAACCTTATTAATGTCCTTTAATTTTTTTTTTTAATTAATTTATCAAATCTCATGTTATTTATTTATTTATTTGTGTTACTTTGTGGCATTTGTTGTCGCTCTTGGATAAATGAGGGATAAAGGAGAGTAGTAGTAGGTCTATGGCACTAAGCATAATAACTTAGTCACATCTTACGGACATGAATTGAAATTTGGATATACTGGGGCGTTCCTTTCTCGGCAATGTGTTACATTTCATAGGCATGGTGTAGTGAAAAATATGGAAGAATTTCCATCCTGGTGTCAAATATGCAGTTTGTGACACAATATATCCGATGTCCGATGTTTGACCGAGAAATTGGTAAAATTAATAGAGGTTAGGAAGAGGAAAAAAATAACATTATGTGCGTAAAAGAGACTAAGTGACTTGGATACAACGCAATATATATAGCTCTAAGCGATTATAAGCTTCGTTAACTGGGAAAGGATAAAGGAGGAACAGAGTAGGTATCATATTGATCCAAAATATGTGTAATCAAGGTGTGTAGAAAGAGTGGTCAAATTATGAGCATTAAGCATGTGATACGAGATCCGGTTGTAACTATTATAAGTTTACATGCATCACAAATAGGATTGGATGACTTATAAGACATGAATTTTAGGAAGTTGGTGAGCAGTTGGACATTGGTAATGATCTCAACGAACATGTGGGTTTTAGGAGGGATAGCTTTGAAAGTATTCATGAAGATTTTGTTACAACGACAAGAATGGAGTTATATTTGGATTTGCATTAGTATATCAATTAGGTGAAATGAACACTTGATTTGATATCCCACCTAGTGACTTATATCAGTGGGGATGATGCTAAGTCAAAATGACTTCTTTTTGGTAAGGAATGCTTGGAGAAAGAGATGCTTGATTTCTATAATAGGAGATAAATAAGAAACTTTTAGTAAAAGATGGTCGATGCAAAATTAAGTTAAGTCTTATAGCAAAGACTAGATTTAGTGTGGAGTAAAATGGAGAATAAGATTGAGGAAGTAGCGAAAGAGGTCGTAAGAGAATCTAAAGGAAGCATGACACTAAGGACAAGTTGAACAAAGAAGTGCAACAAGTGAACGAGAATTGCTATAAAATGTTTGAGAAATGCAGGAGTGATGTGTATTATGAGAAGTATAAGAGCTAGAAGGGAAGCAAAGAAGCTCGTACGAGATGCAAAAGCAAAGGTGAACCGAGACCTATATGCAAGCTTGGATACGAAATATAGGTGATAGGGATTTAAAGACTTGCTCACATGAAAGATAGGAAGATGCAATACATTGGAAAGGTTTGATGGTTAGAGACGAGGAGATAACGGATAAATGGAGGTCCTTCTTTGAAAGGTTGTTCAATGGGGATCAAATCCAAGATATTGGAGATATCTAGTTAATTGGGAGTTTATGCGAAAAATTCAAAAGGAAGAAGTCAAAATGGAATTGAAAAGGCTGGGATTGAATGACGGAATTTTAATGGAGGCTTAGATATATTTGAGAGAAAAAGAAGCTTACAAGACAACATTTTTCAAGCAAATTTGAAGAAGTAATAAGATGCCTTTGGAGTGGAGAAAGTATTTTAATCTCTTTATTAATTTTTATGTTAGATCTTTTTTTATTCAATTTATACCACCATTCTTTATTTGTCCATTCAAATTTTCATCCACTTTCATTTAATCCCTATTCTTGCTTTGTTCCATATTTTGCAAATTCCTTATGACAACTCATTTTAGCCAACCCTAAATCATTTGGGACTAAGGGCTTTGTTGTTTGTTGTTGTCATGTTATTTATTTTGTTTTAACTTCTTATATTCACATTATTTTATTTTTTTAATCATGATGAAGATAGAGGGTCAACTGAACTAAAAGACCCCATAACATTAAAAAATAAAAAATAAAATTAAGAAAAAAGGGAAAGATTGCAAAGGTTTCTTAAACCTGGAAAGTTAGATATCTTTCACTGGAAGGCTTATGCGGGGATCCTAGTTGTTCTACCCTTGAAATTATAACATGAAGGGACATGTAGTTCAAATTTTATCAATAGTTCGAAAATATGAACAAATATAGTATTTTCCAACTGCAAAAAAAAAAATGAACATAGCTCAAATGTTATTATGAGATAAGGATACGTAATCATGGACTTGGATCCATGGTATAGTACTCGATATTGTCGTGCATTGTTGTCCAAATAAAGTCTTACTAAAACACCTACCCTTAATCGTCTCGCTATCTTGAGAAGAACAATCACAATTGTTACCCCATGTATTCCATCTTTCACCTCTAACACATTACAATACCTCATAACTTAACCAAACACCATCACTTAGAGATTTGACGTCAAACAACCTATCCAACATCATTTCATAATCTTAAAAAAAAAAAAAAAAATCAATGGTAAATAATATCTGATCCCCACATTTAAATTCAGCTAGTGTAAAGGCTATAATGGTCCGAAAGCCTGGTGCAAAGAGCACGTGTAAGGTGTGCACATTATAGAATTTAGGCACACTTAAAAAAATTACTCCATAAAAGTTATGGAGAAAAAAAGGCATGTCTTGTCGAACAAAAAGCGATCAGCCCCTAACGAAGTTAATAATCTCCAATCAAAATAATTAATTCATGCATCATAGCTACCTTAAAAGGTGCTAAAAATATGCTATTTGCTTTCCAATAGATGATTTCCACAACATATGATCTACAATCATCCCACTTTTGGCCCTAAATCTTACTATGGCCCTATTCACCAGTAGCGTATGAGCTAGCGGTAAACATTTTGACCAAGTCTAAACACTACTAAAAAAAAGGAGTGTTTGGCAAAGTAGTGGTTTGGATAGGTTGAGCTAGCGTTTAGGTAGCTTTTCTAACGTTAAAATAAGTAGTGTTTCAAAGGTAGCGTGGAGATTTTGTCAAATTTTGGTTACTTTATTAAACAATAAGTATGTACTTTAGTATTTCAACCGTTACTTTTGCCTGACAACTAACCTCTACCTAATACTAATTAACAGCTACTCGCACTCCCACTAGTTATGCCGAACAAGAACTACGAGATAAGAGGTGCACATTAGAACTATCCCTAACTCCTTTGATAAGCGGAGCTCCTTAATATATTTGGAAAACATCTAAAATCATCTCTAATGTGGATCTAAGACCCATTCTTATAATAACCTTTATTGGTGTGTTTATAAATTCCTTCATTTTACCTTACTCTTAATATATGGGTTTCAACAGTGAGTTTTATAACCAACTATTATTGTATTTTTATTACAAGTTATGAGGCCTTAGACTTCCAAACTTGTGTTAATTAATTAGCAGGTCATTGTTTCATTAATTAATTAGCCTTTTTTCTTTATTTAATTTGCTCACATATACATCACCATGTTTGATATTGTTTTGCTGGAACATAATTCTTGTTAACAGTTGTGGTAACTAGGGTTGTACAGTCATTACACCTAACATAAAACCTAGAAATCATTACCTTCTAAGACTATCCTTGAATTTTCCACCATTGAAATCACTTGAAACCTTCAATTTTGGGGCATCAAGTCCCATAGTGAAGGAATATTATTTCATTAGTAGTGCTTCATTTATAAACATCACAACAAAGTTTTGTACAAAGTACAATTAAATCAAGGGCCTACACTTCTCTTCACGAGGAAATATCTTTTTTACAAGTCATTTGAACTAATCTAAACCCAAATATTACACTAAGATTAAATTGGGGGAAATAGGGTATGTCCTTCAATGGCAAATTTTATCTCTCAACTCAAATGAAGTATCAACAACAACCCAACAATGATTATGAATAGACAAACCCACATGATATTGTACACCACTAACCAATAAGATCAACCTTCCCCCTTAGAGGAATAATAAAAATAGTAATCATAATATTTGTGATAGCATAAGATATTGTAGTATTAAATTGGTCCCAATAATGGTGCAGGATGCTACTAAAATGAAGATAACAAGAAGAGTGAAATAAAAAGGAGTTGCAACAATAATGGCATGATGACAAGCTTACTGAAGTGATAGAGAAGTACCACCATGGCCCAACAGTGACTTTTAAGGTTGTTTTAAAGATTAAATATAAAGACAAAAGGGGGGGGGGGGGGGGACAAGATAAAGTATTCACTCTACCTGCTTCAAAAACAAAGCTGCTGTGATGGAACCACCTTGACGACCCCCTGTGTTAACCATATCAGCCACTCCTGATTTCATTGAGTCCCAGTAACTTTCTTCCAAAGGCATCCTCCAGAGTTTCTCTCCAGTAGCTTCTGATGCAGAAAACACCTCTTTGGCAAGTGCATCATAGGGTGTAAAGACACCTGGAAAACAAGCAAGGGATGAATAAAAAAGCCAGTAGGATGGGAGAAACTCTTCTATTTTTTCAAGATACAATGATTAATGAAAGCATATTTAACTGATATCCTCACATTATCAGGCTAAACAATAAAAATTTTGATGCACTATGATGACAACATCAACCACAATAGGCAAATTAGCTACTGGCAGGGAAAGATCATAAATATGCACTTAACCTGCTATGGAAGGTCCCAGAGCAACAACACAAGCTCCAGTTAATGTCGCGAGGTCAATTATCTGCCAAAGAAGGTACATCATGATGATTAGTGCATCTCTTAGATATAAATTTTACACAAAGATAAAGGTTTGTCAAAGATAAGTTTTTTCAGTACTACTGTACAAAAAAAGTCCATTAACATCTCATTATAATTACACTATCTGACCATCCACAAAAACATATTTTCATGTACTGCATAATAAACTTTGCCTTTAAGAAGCTTAACAGCTCCATGACCTATATATACATCAACCGTCAAAATTTAGTTGGATTACTTTTTTGCAGCGAAGAATCGAAGTCACTCACCTAGAGCTAAAGCTCATCTAATTTTGAATGAGATACATAAAATTTCAACAAAGAATAAATTCTGAAGACAATATTCTACTTTGTGAGCTTGCATTGAAAAATGCTGGTGCACTGGGAATTACCATCGGAAGTTTTCTAGGCTGGATAGGTTTATTTTTTCCAAGGACATCAATGTAACAAACTACAACAGACCACCTGTGAGTCTGTGACCCTCACTACCAGGAGGCGGCAAGACAAGCACCAGCAACAACCAACCAAACAGCAGCCAGGCAGGAGGCCAAACAAGCACTTGGTAGTGGGTTGAATAACTGTTTTTTCATTTTCAGAAGCAGACAAGTAATAGTAATTAAGTTCTAGTACTAGGTAGCATCTTAGAGATTGGTGAACTTGTTACATAAGGGAAAAAAGAGTAGATAAGGGGGATATTTATAAATTTGTAAGCTTGGACATTTGCTATGGTGGCCTAAAGCCACATTTAAGACCCGTTTTTGCATTTCCAATAATCAAAGATCTAATCTTTCTCTCCAATTTTGAAAATTCACTTAAAGACATTACAATGAACTCGAACACACTGCACATCGAGTTTGACTTTCCTTTGCATGTTCAAAATCATTTTGCTATTCTTCTTTACTTATCTCCAGCTCAATGGGTACCTACGCTTCTTCAAAATGAAATTATGGACCAGACACCCAAATTTTAAGATGCTAGTAAAAATGTGGTGTGATGAGTTCAAATTCCAAGGATGACGAAGATTTTATTGTATGAAGTAATTCAAAATTTTAATGAAAAATCTGATACTACTCAATTCTCACAGGAATTCAAGGGTTTCTAGTTAATCACAATCAATAAGATGCAAAAAAAAAAAAAAAAAAAAAAAAATAAATAAAAAAAAAACACAGTTTTGTGTTTGGTTTACAAAACCTAAACCTATGATAGCAAAAGCTCATCAAAAGAAATTCAATTCAATCAACTCTGTCTAATATTTATATCAGCCTATCAGGTGACATTATATAGCCATAAAATATAACACTAATGTAATTTAAAAGAATCCTACTAGATAGTATAACAAAATAACTAAATAAAATAAATCCAAAAGTAACTAAAATAACCCCATAAAATATACTTCATGCATCTTTAACCTGTAATATAATCCAAATCTATATATTTGAAGTCCAATAAGATAATTATTTATGAATATACCCTTTGCTCCCACATCAGCCACCATCGCAAATAGCTCTCCACAAGGCAGCTACTATTGTTAGTTTGTTATACCCTTCTTGAAACTATATTTTGTCCGAACTGGGGTTTTGATTCAAGGTTGAATTTGAATGTGCTTTTGTAAAGAAAAGACAGATCTAGGATGTTGCTTCAAAGGCTAATAAAATGATGGATTAGGAAGTCAAAGTCAGTTAAGGCCATCTTGAACCTACGCTTTGAAAAGGCTTAAGAATTAGAAATTTTATGATGTACTTATAAGTAAAGATTGTATCAATCAGATTTGCGATTGTTTGTCTAACTCTGAATTTTATAGTTATGGTGAATAGTGCCCCTATGGAGAGGTTAATTTCATCCCATAGAGGGTTGGGCAAGGCAATCTCTCTCCTTTTATTATCACAATTTGGGGTAGGCATAAATAACCAGAAACTCAAATTGAATCAGACCGGACGAGTCTCCAGTCCAAGAAAAAGTAGGATTCCAAGTTCCTAGTCAGGTTCGGGTATGATTAATAAAACCTTATAACCCTCTAGACTTGCTGTGCCCTCCTTTCCCCTCTTTCTTCCTCCTATGTCCTCTCTCTTCAAATTTTCATCATACCCTTCCACTCTTACGTAACCAACGAAATCCTTACTAGATCTAACCTTCATGCAATTTAGAAAATAAAAGTAAAAGGGATCGTAGCCATTGGATCCAGTTCCCTTAGTGCTGCTGCTTATACAAGCCCATTTCGTTTTCAATTGAGTAACTTTTAAATACATTATCTCTTTAAATGGTGAATGTCTTACTTGAGTTTAGCAAGTGATTTGGTTTTGATTTAATTTCTTAGTGGGGTATGTAAAAGCTGTAATTCACTTTAATTTTTTAAAATCTTTTGAGAAAATTGCCAAACCAACTAAAATGGGTCTTATCAATCTAAATTAAGACCAAATAGGAAAATTAAGGTCTAGACTAATTTAACAGGAATTTTTCTGCCGATCTCCGGTCCAAGAAGGTGCACAGTCCTAATCAATTAAGTAGTTGATGTCTCACCGGAGATCGAAGGTCTTAATGTGAGGAGAAAAGGAGGTGCATGCTACCCATTTGCAATATGTGAACAACACTACATTGTTTGTGGCCAGTAGATAGGTGAAATTCAAGAGAAGTTCTTACCCTACTACAAATATAACGCTTAAAAATAATTCTCACTAAATGTAGTTTTGCAGGGATATAGTAATCTTTAATCATGATTATGTTGTTCTGTTGTATGCATGCAGCTATGGTTGGATGTTAAGCTCTGGGTTTGCCTCTTGGAGGAAAATCACTTACAAGATCTTTTCAAAACTGGTTATTTCAAGGATACCTCTGAGACTCAATAACATGGGAAAGGTCTGCTATTCTTTTGGTGGAATAAATTTAGTCTTGTTTGTTTGGCATCCCACTAAATTTCTGCTTTGGATAAATTTAGTCTTGTTTGTTTGGTATCCCACTAAATTTTACTAAAGCAATAAATAGGTTTGAATATTTAACTTTACTTTGTTGCGCTAATAATGAATCTTGTATATTATACGGCAAACCACTCACTTCTCTCTCCTTAAGTAAAAAACCTCCCCCACCTGAAACCTAGGGACTCACCAAGGTTCCTGCGTGAGAAAACTCCAAAAAAAATCGGTGCCTCTCCTGTGCAAGCGGACGTTATTTTTAGCCACCACAAGGTTCAAGTGTCCTCGGTAGAAAAGTGGATACCTCTAAGACTTAATAACATGGGAAAGATTTGCTATGCTTTTGGTGGAATAAATTTAGTCTTGTTTGTTTGGTATCCCACTAAATTCCTGCCTATTCAAAATTCAAGATTTGCTGCAACTAGGATGAATAGGATGATGAGGAAATTGTAATAGTGTGGGTCAACCAATATGAACAAACATCACTGCGTGAGTTGGGATTTGGTGTGTCGATTGATAACAAAAGAAGGTCTAGAATAAGGGTAAGAGGTCACTATATTACAAAATGATTGTGGCGTTTTCTTCGTGAATGTCATAATGCTTGGACTCTTTGGCATTGATAAGTTGCACCAAAACCAGTGGGATGCACAAGATGCACTTATAGTGACACATGGTTGTCCTTAGAAATTCGTTGCACTATTTGTTAACCCGTTTACAAAGATTTAAGGTAGAAGATGGTCATCATATTAATCGATGTAAGGTATTAATAGAGGAGAGCCTTTCGATGCCCTATATCCTCAATTTATACCAATTGTCATCTCCCCACCAGGCCACCATACAAATGTTGTTTTTTTTTTTTATTTTTTATTTGATGTTAGATGAGCTCACTTCTAAATTAGAGGAACGAAAATAGATAGAGGCATTCAAACGAAAATCTTCCTTGAACCAAGGTAGACTACCTTTCTAAACTAGAAGGACTTGTTCTTGCTTTTCTCAATTATTAAATCAACCCACAAACTTCATTTGAAGAGGGAGGATGCATCTAAAGGTGAGAGCTTTGATGAACGCATTGGCACTAGGGTTTAGGGAGGATTAACATTGATAACATACTCCAAAAGCAATAAATAGGTTTGGATATTTTACTTTGCTTTGTTGCGCTAATAATGAATCTTGTATATTATGCAGCAAACCACTCACTTCTCTCTCCTCAAGTAAAAAACCTCCCCCACCAGAAACCTAGGGACTCACCAAGGTTCCTGCTCCGTTCAGTGAGAAAACTCCAAAAAAAAATCGGTGCCTCTCCTGTGCAAGCGGACGTTATTTTTAGCCACCACAAGGTTCGAGCGTCCTCTATAGAAAAGTGGAGCCAAGCCCCTCTCCACCTCAGGTGTCTTTCTCGTTTTCCTCGGTTTCAAAGGGGTTCATGGGATTTAAAGTTTTGGGAATCCTTTTGCAAAGCTTCCTCAAACGTGCTACAATATATCACTCCTTTAAAGGTGAAGTTTGGGTTAGGATTTCTTGTTTGGGATGGGATTTGTTACCTTACGGGTTGTCAACTAAGGTTTTGGGCTTTCATCCTGGAGCTAACTTCGTCGCCACCTCGTGATTTCGAATCAATTGGTAAAGGTAAAGACTCTGTTAAGGTTTCTTTTTTGATTTTCTGCCCTCTTTTCACTCATGGTCTGCCTTTTGAACTTTTTCATATGTACTCGTCTTTGTGTGGCTTTCGGAGTTAAGTTCGTGTTTTGGTATGTGTTGTGGTGTCCTTGCATTTTTTTGGGCATTTAGTCGAAAGTTCAATGGTGATCTTTGATGCTATAAATGTTGTTTTAATTGGGATTGTTCCGGGTTTTTTTTTAGGTTTTTTAAGTTTTTAGGGGATCTGGGAGGCTGTGTTAGCCTCCTCTTGTAGTGTTTTAGGATTCGAGTTAGGTAGTTTTGGGGATGGATGATGGACCTTTCCTATGATCAGATTTAGTTTTTAGGGCTAGTCTTGACTTGGTGTGTGTGTGTGTTGTTACCTTTTTTATCTGTGTTGTTACTAATCAAAAGGGGTTTAAAAAATTATCTCGAGGTAACTCTTGTATTAGCTTAGCTTAGTAATGGATTTTCGATTCATTACATTGAAAAAACCTTTATCTTAACCCTACTCTCCAAAATGGGGGCTCCATAAGTTTCTTGTGGGGTTTTTAGTATGGTAATAGTCTCTTCCTTCAAGGATATGCCAAAGGTACCCACAATGAAGGGTACCGTGTCACTTGTAAAGGTAACTCTGTTGTGTCTAAGTCGTCATAATTCCTTTCCCCTATTGCCTAACATTCAGCTCGTTTAGTTATAAGCCAAAGCCTTACTTCTTTATGTTCTCTTGTTCAATTCCCAAGTTCAATGCAATACGGGATTTATGCTAGGCCTGAGCACGGATCGGATATCCGATCCGAAACTGGATTTCTGATCGGATATCCGTATCCGAAAATCTGGATATTTGATATCCGTATCCGATCCGAAAATTTCGGTTATCCGAAAATCCGGATATCCGAAATTTTCGGATCGGATATGTCGGATATCCTATATCCGACTTCTTTAATAAAAACCTAGATCTACTTATACAATTATTGCAAAACAATTATACATAACAAAGTCCAAAAATTAGAAATTAAAGTAATTAATTATATAAGTATAAACTACAATTACAAACTAAAATTCCAATAATATCAAAATTAATAATATAGTAAATATAAAATTGAAAAAAATAAACCTAGATCAATTTTCTAATCTAAATTAGAATTAGATCTAAAATACAAAAACCTTGAAATTTCGAAGCTCATGGGCTGCTAGAGTTGAAGCTTAGGCGGGCGTCGGTGCTTGGCTAGGGTTGAAAGCAGGCAGCAGCATGGGCAGGGCGGCAGCTTGGGAAATGGGAACCCATCCCACCTAACGCCTATGAACCCATCCCACCCACCACCAATTTCGACGCCTGTGAACCCATCCGACACCACCCCAGCCCACATTATTCACGTTGCTAGTGAATTTAACCCAATCCACCCCCATTCTCGAAGCTAGTAATTTAACCAAGATAATTTCAAAAAAAAATGTAAATAATTCACTTGGGCTAGGTCGAACGGTGGAGTAGGAGGTGATGGTGGCCTGAGGTGACGGCGGCGACGAAGCCGAAGTTGCTAGAGGTGGCGGTGCTGGGTATTTTGTTTTGAAGCAATAAATTAATTCATTTGGGCTAGATTAAGAGAAAGAACAAGATGAATTTTGGAGAAATGTTTGGAATTTTGGAGAAGAAGAATGAAATTAAGCAAATTTGTGTTCGATCTAAAATGAATAAGATGCTGAAGATAAAGAGAAGGATGGGGGAGAATGAAGGAAGAGGGATGAGAGAGAAATGAGTAGGGGGCGGTATAAACTATAAAGTAGATCCAGGTTTTTAACTTTTTACCCGAAAATATTTTAAAATGGTAAAAAAGTGTTTTTTTCGGATTTCGGATCGGATATCCGACTTTTTTTCGGATATTCGGATATCCGAAATCGAAATTTTCGATATCCGATCCGATATCCGAAATTTTCGGATCGGATGCGGATCGGAATTTCGGATTATCAGATAGTTTTGCTCAGCCCTAATTTATGCAGCATGTTCGTAGGGCTTCTTTGTGTAGTTCTTCGAACTTGCTTCGTAACTTGTAATTTTTATTCTTGTAAAAAATAATAATGAGTCTTGTTTGGATGTTTTCATACATTATGAAGTGGCAAGTTACCATTAATATAGTTTATTTAGTTTGCATGAATAATCAATCATGCACTTTTTCTTTAAAGTTATGAGGTGGCTAAAGATTTATTTTCATATGTTTCATTGTCTTTTATTTGTTGTGATACAAAGTCTTTTATTCGTGATGGGCCAAGGTAGCGAGGGGCTTCTAGGATTACTCAATACGGGAAGTTAACAAACAAGAGTAAATCATGCACAAAACCATTCCGGATGGTGATGGTAACATTTTGAGTCGGTGAGAGATATAGGAGCAAGCCACTTCAACTCTCCATTCACATATGGTTTGTGTGTGCGTGCACTTGTTCATCCATTAACTAATCATTTTCATGATACATAAATATTGAACACCTAACTATACCTTCTCTACACCTTGATTGCAAGCATACACCAAAGCATCTGCAAGAGTAAGCCTACCTTCTGCATCCGTATTGTTAACCTGCATTCAACATAATGATTGACAAGCTAAAGTTAGATAAATAATAAGTTAAAAAAAACATACATGTGACACATCAATACAACCTAAATGTTTATAAGGACATTAGATAATCATATCAACTCTTCTTAGTGCATATCACCAATGCAGAAGTGCAACATACAAGCTAATTGCCAAGACACCCAATCTTTTTCACTTTGAAGGTGTTTGTCAGAAAGATAACAATCCTCTCCACATTGGATGCATCAAGATGGAAGAGACCAAAACAAGAAAATAAGAACCAAGAGACGACCTAATGATTCACTGGAAAATCCGAGATGAACCCAGTCTTCTTTATCCTGTCAGCCTTCAATTGATTCAAGATTTCAAGTCATAACAGTATTCTGGTTGGACAACCAGAATGTCTGAGCGGTCTAATTTTTTATAAATAATTTATTTCAATTGTCTTCTTAATTTACAAAAACTCCCTCCAGTTCCAACAATTGTTAAGAGTCCCTCACTCCCTCTGATTAGGAATTACCTAATTATTTGATACAAAGAAAATCTTGTTACATTCCAGAATTACCTCTATGGTCTTTCCATTAGAAGCAGTGACTATGTCTCCAGGCCGCATACCAGTCCCACTAATCATATTTTCACAGGCGGCAACAATAAAATGAACCTGCACATGCCCAAGATCTTCAACATTTCATACATAAACTGTATCCCAAATGGAGAGTGCAATTTCACAGCTGTCTTTAAGTTAAACTGGTTCTAGGCTACTAGCTACACACAAATTTGAATAGCATTTTTTTTTTTCTTATTCCTTTATATGTGATAATGTGAGAATAAGTTTTGAGACTTGCCTCAACCCCAGCAGGTTTGATTTGACCAATCGCTTTTGCAGCACCTAAAACAGCTGCTGAGCCACCCATATCAAACTTCATTAGCTCAATTGAACAACCAGGTCCAGTTTTGATGTTGTAGCCCCCACTAAAAAATCAAAGGGAAGCACTTAAGAGCATGCTAATTTCAGCATCCAAATGCACTTCAACAAGAATATACAAATAGAGACAACTATTGACAATCAATCAAAAAAAGAGATAACCTTAGTAAACAAACAACATCAAAATATAAGAAGTACAACATTAATCATCCTGAAGAAGAAAAGTATCAAAAGCACCTACACACTGAAACAGCCCAAAATTGTGAATTTATAGGTAAAGAAATGTAATAGAGGTAAAAGCATTAGCAATGAAGGAAATTAACATACTATAGGTGGTACCATCACCTCCCAAGGTATGATGTCATGAACTCATAATAAGAAACATCTAGAGCTAAATCCCCACAGTCACATACAGGATATAAAATCAACTTCTTAAAGTAGCATCTTATCATCCCCTCCCATGATAAAACCGTAAATAACTAAAGTTGACTCCACAATCAGACACAACTCAGTTCCAAAGGGTGAAGCAAAATTTAATCATATCAATTCATCCCCACAAACTCACCTGTCAAATGTCAGTCCTTTCCCAACAAGCCCTAATCTGGCTTTAACTGGACCTCTAGGTTTGTAGCACAGATGAATGAAATGTGGCGGATTTGCTGAAGCTGCACCAACAGCAAGGTAAGATCCCATTTTCAGTTCTTTGCACTGCTCTACATTAAGGATCTTTGCTGAAAGAACATCACTGTACATTGAAGCAATCTTGGAAGCCTCTTCAGCAAGCACTCCTGAGGAATATATTAAGAACTCTTGTATTTAGTCCTGGAGGCATACAGCTTAGTAGTTTATTCTTCTTATTCCCTCCTCTAAGCCATCTCAAACTCAAAAAATGTTTAGATAAAAAATGTATCATTTGCCCTTGGAAATTCAATAAACTTGCACCAACCTCTTAGGAAGGTGAACACGGAAAGAAAGGAAGCTCAATTGGAACCTAACAACATATAAGAGCCATACTAACCAGGAGTAAGTACATTAGCAGGTGCATTAACCAGCTCTCTTCCAAATATAATTCCAGAACAAGTATCTTCGACGGATTTAAGCTTTTTCTCTAAATCAAGCCCAGTTCCAAGGCCAACAATATCCACAAATTGAAGAAGTGGTCTCTTCGACTCTGATTTAAACCTGTTATCTTCATGCACTCCAAGGATAGTACCTGTCACAGACATTTCACCACATAAATATAAAGTATCATGGACTGGACAAGTGCAAACGACAAGCATCAAACAAGGAATGAAGTTGAGGCATTTACCAGATACGATGGCGGAAACAGTGTTAAGCTTTGACTCTGCTGAAAGCCCCTCAGAAGAAGCAAGGAACACAGCAGTAGCACGAGCTTGAGCAGCCTTTGCAGCTGTGGCAAGAGCTTCACCTAGACCACGGTATGCTGCCAGAGAAGGAGACTCAGAACCAAGTCCAATCAATCCTATCCTCTTGCATCCTAATCCGGGAAGCCTAAAAATAGCAGATTGGCCAGCCTTGCCCGTAAAATCCTCCTCAACAGAGGCTTCAGCTAACAAACCACCTAGTTGGGAATCTAACCCCTTTAAGATAGAATTTTCAAATTTCATATTGTCATCCTTGCTCAAGTCTTTCTCTGTAACACCCACAGCAAGCAAGTCTCCTGTCCACTCTGTCACATCAATATCTTTCACCGTAAATGATACCTTCAATCAAATTTCAACAGTTAAGAGTTTAGAATCTACAAGTGACATTTATATTCAAAAGGAAACACTAACTAATATTCAAGTCTGCTAAACGAGAGATCCAACCAGTAAAATAGAGCACGAAGTAATATATATATATATATATATAATAAAAAAAACAAACAAAAGTGGATAAGAGCAAACTTTAAAAATGCAGGCAAAGCACAAAATGCAAATGAGCTTCAAAATTTTGCTGATAATGATGAGAAATAAACCTTAATAGGTTCAACGCTGGTAGGTTGAGTGAGTCCTAAACTGGCTTGACTGTGAGAGTGTGCCATTCAGCCTCCTGCGTGATATAGGCAACATAAAAATAAATTAGAAGGCGTTAATTGATAAAACTGATAAAGCAGTGGATACAACGATGGCAACCTGTATTGGAGCCAGTGACAGATTTGAAATTTTTGGAATGAAAGACCACCACTGACCACGTCCCATTGTGCCAATTGACAGCCAAAACAAGAAAGCAAGACAAAAAAAATATCATATCATATAGTTTTATTCAAAAATACGTAAATATTCAAATCACAGCCTAAAAGTACTTAATAAAATTATTACAATTGATTACAACTTTCATAGTTTGGTACAATCTACAATAGCATCTATGCTACATCCAAAAACAAATCTCTCCAGATAAGTTTAATTACATTATATAATCCATCCTCTTTTCAATTTTGATTCCAATTACAATTCACATGATTAGATAATCACATTTATTCTAACTTCAACAATAAGATATAAACTTAACAGCTGACTGATTTACCAAAAAATCCGTAACTATATTACAATTTTATCCAAAGTTGCCTTAATTTCTAGCATCAACAACCAATTAAGCAAATGCAATCAAAAGCATTTCAGGAAACAAAATTTATGAACATGAACTTTTAATTAATAGAAACCCTAACCTTTTTCAAATGATGATGAGCAAGGAGATTGTCGCCTCTTGGAGAGCTCCCGCCGACTCGTGGACTTGTGACGGTGGATACGTGGTTGTGACAGGTAATGGTTGCGGTCAAGCGGGAGACTTAGGTCGGCAATTCGGTTGCTGGTTGAGCCCGAGAGTAAATCCTGGGAGAGTATTTTTGGAATAGTTACGGAGTACTTGTGTAGTGGGTTACTCGTAAGAAACCAACGTACTAACGTAGTTATAGAATTTTAGTCCTCTACTCCCTCCGTTTCGCATTAGTTGTAACACTAGGCTTAAGAAATAGAAATAATTAAAAAAAAAAAGTAGTGTGGGTGGGGTTAGACCTGATCAAGTATGGTCCGGCCCGACCCGACCCAATTTTGGGCGGGTTTTTTTTGGCCCGAAATCGGGTCGGACCCCCGGCCCGGATTTTTTTTGGGCGGGTTTGGGAATGCGTTTTTATGCATATTTAGTTGTTTTTTTAGGCGCGGCCCGAAAATGGCCCAACCTCTTGAAAAATGCCTACTTTATTTATATATATGGGTTACTCGTAAGAAACCAACGTACTAACGTAGTTATAGAATTTTAGTCCTCTACTCCCTCCGTTTCGCATTAGTTGTAACACTAGGCTTAAGAGATAGAAATAATTAAAAAAAAAAAAGTAGTGTGGGTGGGGTTAGACCTGATCAACTATGGTCCGGCCCGACCCGACCCAATCTTGGGCGGGTTTTTTTGGCCCGAAATCGGGTTGGACCCGGCCGGGCCCGGATTTTTTTTGGGCGGGTTTGGGAATGCATTTTTATGCATATTTAGTTGTTTTTTTAGGCCCGGCCCGAAAATGGCCCAACCTCTTGAAAAATGCCTACTTTATTTATATATACTCCTACTTTAGATATAGGATTTATATACCTACTATTATCAGATAAATTTTAATAGCGTTTATGATAAGAAATAAAAATTATTCCTTAATTATAATTAAATTAAAATTTGTGATATTTACCATTATAAACAAATGTATCATATGACACCAACAAAATTTCGTATCAATACTGTTTCAAGGGTTTTTGGAGTCCCTCGGGAGAGTTACAATCCTGAGTATGCGCGTCCGACCGTCTGTACCTGCAAAAGCACGGAGACTCCGGTTGGGTGGAGTTCCGCCTCCGAAGATCAAGTTAATATGATTCCGGATGGGTAAAAGTGCGGAAAGTAAATGGGTTTTTCTCCCTGATTCAAAGAGATTCCGCAATTAATATTGCTCGGTTTTTTGTGTTTGTATTTATGTATCCCATAAAGGAGAATCTTTCCCCTATTTATAGTGGGAAAACATGCACCCTGATTAGGGTTTTAATGCCACGTGTCAGCATCCGATTGGATCCCGTTGGCCCTCTGATGGGCTGCCACGTGTCATCATGCTACTGGGCCACGTGGCATAGGGTATTTTTACCCTAAACATTTGCCCCTCACAGGTGTGACGTGGCTTTGCCACGTGTCACCTGTGACAGGTGTCATACTCAGGGGAAGCGACGGTTGGTCTGCTTCCCGCCTCTTTTTTGAAGTTCGAATTTTGAATGTTTGAGGCGCAAGGTGGCGATTCGCCTTCTAGGTTTGTCTATAAATAAAGACCACCCCCCTCTCCTCTTCACTTTACAAATTTCGCAAAAAATTCCTTGAGAGTATACCGGCCGCTTTTTGTGCAACCAGATTCTTCTTCCAGACGTATCCGGATACCGGCTGAGCGCTTTTTTAATCAACTCGTTAAGGTACCGGCTGACTTTTGATTTTCTCTTGATTTGAGTAATATCTCAGACGGTCTTACACCGTCTGGGGCACCTTAGGCCCTTTCTTATCTTGCATTTGATAGACCCACAAACGGTTATGGACCGTCTGGGGTATCTTTCAAACAATGACCCTTTGTTGCGAAGAGGTCTTATTCAATAGACCCATAGACAGTTACGTGCCGTCTGGGGCATCTTCAGACAATAGTTTTCAACATTTTGCATTCAATAGACCCTCAATCGGAAATATTCCGCTTGGGGCATTTTCAAACAACTGATCTTCAAATCTGGACCCACAGACGGTTTGTATTGTTTGGGGTATCTTCAAACCACGGTCTTCAAAAATAGAACCCCAAACGGTTAGGGCCGTCTGGGATATCCTCAAACAATGACCTACCAATAATGCATTCAGTAGGCCTACAGACGGTTACATACCGTCTGGGGCATCTTTGAACAATTGTCTTAAACTGCTCTCTAGACCCACAACCGGTCTTCTTCCCGCCTGGGGCATCTTTAAGCAATTGATCTTCAAAGCGAGACCCTCAGCCGGTTAGCATGCCGTCTGAGGGGTCATTGAGCAATCCTTCACGAATACCGCTTGGGGTATCTTTGAGGAGTCCTCAATAAAACCATTGAATGGACCACTACACGAAAAGAGCAAATTGGCAACGGTTCAAACCCCCCCAATGGCAACGGTTTTGAACCGTTGCGTATTTGAGGGTTGCCAAATCCCAAAATAATTGGCAACGGTTCAAAACCGTTGCCAACTCAAGCAATTGGCAACGGTTAACCGTTGCCAATGACCATGGAGCCTTTTTTTTTAACCGTTGCCAATTGCTTGAGTTGGCAACGGTTAACCGTTGCCAAATACAATGGCGCGCTTTTTTATTTTTTTTAATATTGGCAACGGTTAACCGTTGCCATTGACTTGTATTCTTTTTTTTTTTTTTTTTTGCTGCACTAATATTGACCTGTTTTTTTTTTGGCTGCAATATTATTAGTATTATAATATTAATATTAATAATAATAATAATTATTATTATAATAGTAATAATAATAATTATTATTATGATAACAGTAACAATAATTAGTATTATTAATAACAATACATAAATAATTAATAATAACAATCGCAAGAGATGATATAAATTAGAAAAATGTTTCATGTATAGTACATAATTAGTAAGCTAAGGCTAGGATTGATGAAGTAGCTAACTAGTAAACGATATTTACAAATTAAATGTGATGTAGGTCGCCAACATCTCCCGAATTACATGGAGTTCCTCGCTCGTGTATGGCCGTCCCATTTGGCCCTTGCAAAACTTAGAATACACAAAACGTGAGTTAGTAGAAGTGAAGTAATAATAATTGGGGTTAGTTAAATGTGACTAATGCTTGAGATTACAAGAAAAGAGCAAGTAAGAGGTTTTGGGACGCAATTTCAACCAAAATGGCTCAAGTAAGGCCATTTTGGCTACTATGATGCCTATTTTCTACAATTCATGTCTATTGAACTCATAAATAGTTAAAACATGTCATTATCACTTAGTTATAGGTGACTAATGCTTGAGATTACAAGAAAAGAGCAAGTAAGAGGTTTTGGGACGCAATTTCAACCAAAATGGCTCAAGTAAGGCCATTTTGGCTACTATGATGCCTATTTTCTACAATTCATGTCTATTGAACTCATAACTAGTTAAAACATGTCATTATCACTTAGTTTAATGTGACTAATGCTTGAGATTACAAGAAAAGAGCAAGTAAGAGGTTTTGGGACGCAATTTCAACCAAAATGGCTCAAGTAAGGCCATTTTGGCTACTATGATGCCTATTTTCTACAATTCATGTCTATTGAACTCATAACTAGTTAAAACATGTCATTATCACTTAGTTTAATGTGACTAATGCTTGAGATTACAAGAAAAGAGCAAGTAAGAGGTTTTGGGACGCAATTTCAACCAAAATGGCTCAAGTAAGGCCATTTTGGCTACTATGATGCCTATTTTCTACAATTCATGTCTATTGAACTCATAACTAGTTAAAACATGTCATTATCACTTAGTTAAATGTGACTAATGCTTGAGATTACAAGAAAAGAGCAAGTAAAAGGTTTTGGGACGCAATTTCAACCAAAATGGCTCAAGTAAGGCCATTTTGGCTACTATGATGCCTATTTCCGATAATTCTTGTCTATTGAACTCATAACTAGTTAAAACATGTCACTTAGTTATAGGTGACTAATGCTTGAGATTACAAGAAAAGAGCAAGTAAGAGGTTTTGGGACGCAATTTCAACCAAAATGGCTCAAGTAGGCCATTTTGGCTACTATGATGCCTATTTTCGATAATTCTTGTCTATTGGACTCATAACTAGTTAAAACATGTCATTATCACTTAGTTAAATGTAACTAATGCTTGATATTACAAGAAAAGAGCAAGTAAGAGGTGTTGGGACGCAATTTCAACCAAAATGGCTCAAGTGAGGCCATTTTGGCTACTATGATGCCTATTTTCTACAATTCATGTCTATTGAACTCATAACTAGTTAAAACATGTCATTATCACTTAGTTATAGGTGACTAATGCTTGAGATTACAAGAAAAGAGCAAGTAAGAGGTTTTGGGACGCAATTTCAACCAAAATGGCTCAAGTAGGCCATTTTGGCTACTATGATGCCTATTTTCGATAATTCTTGTCTATTGGACTCATAACTAGTTAAAACATGTCATTATCACTTAGTTAAATGTAACTAATGCTTGATATTACAAGAAAAGAGCAAGTAAGAGGTGTTGGGACGCAATTTCAACCAAAATGGCTCAAGTGAGGCCATTTTGGCTACTATGATGCCTATTTTCTACAATTCATGTCTATTGAACTCATAACTAGTTAAAACATGTCATTATCACTTAGTTATAGGTGACTAATGCTTGAGATTACAAGAAAAGAGCAAGTAAGAGGTTTTGGGACGCAATTTCAACCAAAATGGCTCAAGTAAGGCCATTTTGGCTACTATGATGCCTATTTTCTACAATTCATGTCTATTGAACTCATAACTAGTTAAAACATGTCATTATCACTTAGTTATAGGTGACTAATGCTTGAGATTACAAGAAAAGAGCAAGTAAGAGGTTTTGGGACGCAATTTCAACCAAAATGGCTCAAGTAAGGCCATTTTGGCTACTATGATGCCTATTTTCTACAATTCATGTCTATTGAACTCATAACTAGTTAAAACATGTCATTATCACTTAGTTAAATGTGACTAATGCTTGAGATTACAAGAAAAGAGCAAGTAAGAGGTTTTGGGACGCAATTTCAACCAAAATGGCTCAAGTAAGGCCATTTTGGCTACTATGATGCCTATTTTCGATAATTCTTGTCTATTGAACTCATAACTAGTTAAAACATGTCATTATCACTTAGTTAAATGTGACTAATGCTT